AGTGTGATCGTGATATAGAGTTAATAGTATACAAATAAAATTTTTTAAAATTTTTTATTGGTTTACTAGTGCATAGCTCGTCATTTACGCTGACGGTCTAAATTAGATCTAAGATATATTTAAAACCAAAGTAGGTTCAATAAATCCAGTGTTTTAACAAACCCGAAATGGAATCTAAAACAAAAAAACAAAATTTTAGTATATAGATTACAAATAGTAATTACAATAGTATAGTAATTATCATAATTTCAGCTCTAAGCAAATTACCTCGATTTTTAACTCTTTCAAAGATATAAACGGTATTAATTTTTAATTTTCACACCTTTAGAAGGTGGATCAGAAGTTAAAGTCTCCCTTTTAGAAGAATCTTTATCATTGACAACAACGAAATGATAAGCGATAATTAAAGCCATTATAAGAGCACCTAAAGAGTTACATAGAGACGACAGTGTGGTATCTTCCATTTTTTAGTTTGTAAGAGAATTGTTAATCAGAAAATTGTTCGAGATTAGTTTAAATATAAGTGGCAGTTTACCATTGGTGCCTGATTCCAAATAAAGTGGTCGGTTTAAATTAAACTCACGTGACTTATGTAAAACTTTAACCGATCACTTTTTTTAAGTAATACCAGGAAGTAAAAATTTTTATATGCTTATGCATAATTGTTTCCAATAGAACTTAACATCTAAAAGATTAAAATTTCCAGGGTCAAAACTGCGTTTTGATATTTTAATAAAAAATATGTCAGAACGTAATATGTCATCAAAGTTTCCGTTTCGCATTGACAATTCGTTCTGAAAAAAAATCTTTATTATTATAAACACTTTTATTAGATTTTAAAAATATAAAATTTTTATATACTATAAATTAAAAAAAAAAATTTTCTTAAATAAAAATCTAAAAGCAATTAAATTTATTTTTTAAAAAATCAAAACTAATTTTCTAAATCGTCAATTTTTTCCACGATGTTGTACGTGAATTACTAATTGTCCGTCTTGCACACTTGTTTCATGAGAAGATTCTCCAAAACTTACGTCTATTATCACTGGATCCATATATGGAACTTCGCAATAGCCATAAGGGTCTAAAGGTGGTAAAGATAAATCTTCAAAAAAAAAAACACAACAAAATTGTTAATTCTGTGTGCATTAAAACCAATTTCACGTTAAAAATTTTATACGCAAAATAAATTATATTTATTTCCTAACCTATACATTGCGTGCATTTTAGTAAGTAGAATTCAATAAGTTTATATGATATAATGATAGAATACTATCCATACTAACCTTCGAATCCGACCAATTCTCTTGCGAAATCTGCGTCTGAGCGTTCTAAAATAGATGACGCGAGTTTTTTTGAATTTTTATACACATCGCATGTGAAATTGTCTATATATTTCCATGTTTTTTTCCAATATTGTGCAGTCAAAGGAAAAATATGTGCCTCTAGAATTCCAAAATCATTTTAGATATTAAAGAACAAAGAGACTATATACAATTTTCTTTATTGCATACCAGTTGTGAAAACAAAATTATCATCTAATTTATTGAATATATGATCTAAAAACACGAATTAAAAGGTTTAATTTTAGATTAATTGTAAGTAATGACAAAGTTAATAAAATAATCGAATTTACCGGTATCAAACAATAGATA